TATTCCTACTCATTATAATGGCAAGTTTAACCATAGTCTGCAGTGCCGGTTATATTCCGTCTACTCCCATACATGAGACAAAGCATTTGAAGTACAACATGATTCAGTACCGATACATCCTAACATGCCCCCCTGACAACATCCGTTAGACAGTCTGACGTGTAGCCAACAAATAATACATCAACGTATAAAAATGACCTCACGGGGGCAAAAAGTGGATCAGTTTTCTTTATTTTTTTATAACAAAGTTATGATAATGCACATTTCACAAGGATAGAACTCCAAACAACCACATGTAGAGGGCCATGCGCAGGCGTACTCCACCTTTATGTATAATGGTACAAAATATCTAAAGCCATTCACTCCCCAACAAAAGCCTCGAAAGACGTTCACACTCATTCATACATGAAACATACAAACACTTCAGGAAGAAGAAAATAAAAGGAAACATCTAGGAAGACGGCCTAAAGGGACTGACTGTATTCATGATTTAAAATAACTTACTGAGTGGAGATGAGGGACTGTCTGGGCAAAAGGCAGAACAATATGTACATGCTAAAGGCGAGATCATTCTAAACATGCATTCACTGATGAATGTACACAGCAAGGCGACAGTTTGCTGGTTATTCTAACAGTATCATAAATAGATGTTTAAAAACTAACAAAAGCCTTTTTGCATGTGAGCACTTGACTTGTAAAATTATCTACGTCTGTGCAGGTATTTTAGCTGCAGCCCCACATACACGTGGAAATCTGAAATGCCAGAATAGGAACAGTAACACTCTGGATGGTTTTTCTTCTTATTAGAGCAGAACTGGTTCACGCTGCAGCTCAGAAGGATTTGTGGCATTTTTTTTATTACATGAAGTGCTAAGTGGGTGGGGTGGGGGGGGGACAACAGAAATAGGCATATTTTCAGTAAAAGATTCATGCTCAACCGACAAAATATTCAACCGTGGCTGTGCAAAAACCCACTGAGCACGGCAACAAATGTAAGCGATGCAGCGTGAACCAGGTTTGCCAATAAGATCACATAATAAAACAGGAATACAAAAAGGTCCTATCGTTGCAGTAGGAGAATACAGGAATCAGTGGGGCTTGAGGACGACAGTAAAATGACCCATTCCTCCCTCTGCCAGACTTCAAGTTGACTTCACTTCTTCTTTTGGTCTGAAACACAAAACAGTTGAGGAGTTGAAATAACAAAATACAACCAGTAGTGATTTTAGAGGCTGTTTCCTGCCTCTGAGTTGCTCTAACCTGGAGAAAATCTTGGTCCACTGAAATAGAAAACCTACTCTTTAACCAATCAAGTGGTTGAAAAAAATCTACACGTCTCTAGATTTACTGAATAAGCCGCAGGGTGCTGAGTGCAGGCTACTTGCGAGGCTTATTCATCTAAATGAATGATGAGTAAGCGAATCAATTAGTTTGGACCCAACTCAAAGTAATAGGAAACATTAAATATAGACATAGCAGTCTCCAATAGGCTGTGTAAGTTCTACTAACTTGGGGGAAATGACGGATGGTGTGCTCCTTCTAGAAAATAATGGATTTAATCCGTCGAAATCTAAAACCGCCCGGTAGGTTTGAAAGGATTGTAATCTTTAAAAAAATTTAAAATTAAAAAAGAACGTCAAAATTCTGCCACTGGTCAGAGCCAGCAACAGGAAAAAACTTGTCAGATTTTTTTTTTTTTTTAAAGATTATTTTTCTGGCGTTTTTGCCTTTATTAGTCAGGACAGTGAGAGAGTGAGACAGGAAAGGGGGAAGAAGAATGGGGAGAGACCTTGCAGCAAACTGTCGTGAGCGGGAGTCGAACTCACGAACACCGCACCGGGGAACTATAGCCCCTGTTCATGGGTTGCCTGCTCAACCAGGTGAGCTATAGGGGTGCCCACTTGTCAGATTTTTTAACTTGAACTATTCATCTGTAGTTTTACATTGTTCCGTTGGGACACTTCACCAAATCTGAGCCTAAAATTGTGATATTTCATCTTCGCTGTATTATACATGGCTCTTTAAAAAGCGACCAAAATTGAACGGTTTACACCAATTCCTGCAAAAACCAAATCATTCAGTGGTCCTATATGTAACCAGGAAGCCACAAGTGACTCAGATGCAACCAACAGTCAGGTGAAAAGAGATGTTCGGCTGAACTGCAGGCTGTGCTGACAAAGCAGAGTGGATGGAAGAAGTAAAATATCTATAATACGTACATTCACCAGGTTTTACAGTATTGGTGACAACTTTGGGCACTTGAAAAAAAAAAGGTATATGTTGATACCAAATTCTAAAACATTTTTTGAAAAATAAGAAACCAAAGACATTGGATGAGAGCATACTGACCATCTAATCAACTTGTCAACATGGACACTACATCCTGAAGATGAATGTTTCTTACCCTGACGTGTCCATCTTCTCTTCCTCCTTCTCTTCCTCTTTCACTTCTAGAAACCAAAGAAACACATGATTATTCGCATTTGTTTTTTTTTTTTGACGTCTTCAAAAGCCACATTGTCTTGAGAAGAGTCTCACCTTTCTTTTCTTCTCCTTCCTTCTCTTCTTCCTTCTTCACTCGTTTCGCCTTCTTGTGGTTGGCTGCGTTCCTGCGGCCTCCACCCTGACCCTCTGCCTCGTCCTCAGAGTCAGAAAACTCCTCCTCGCAGGCTATCCTCTTGTCATGGGCCCGGACTGAAACACAGAACACACACGGAGACGGTCCATTAATTCCCTGTAAAGCAATCCGCGCATCCTCCCAGCTTGTATGTCGTCAATTTGTGTCAAATCCGACGGAATTCAGGAATTACGTTGCTGCATCATCTTAGACTTTGTTTAGATTTTAACAATTTGTTATGTCGGACCCAAAACTGAGCTTGGCAGAATTTTGAGAATTTCTGAAGTTGCCAGATTTGTGAATTTTTGTAATTTAGTAATTACCAAAATATATAGTAATGTAGTATGTAATGTATGTATGTATATGTAATGTAGTAAAATTGGAATTCTTAATTCTGGAAACCCATTTTGAGGTTTACCAGTTGCAGAAATAAAACTCCCACAGCCGCAATATTTGGTGAGCACACGGAACTGTTTCCAGCAGATCTAAATGATTGAATGGCTCCAGCAGAGACCACATTTGTAATTATTAACCCTGGAAAAGGTTCCAAAACGTGTGCTATTGGTGGCCTAGAAATACACATTTCCTTCCAAAAAAAAAACATGTTTGGATTGACATCTCACCGACTTTTAAGGCCTTCAACATCAGCACCAGCAACATACTAAATTCTCAAAATTCTGCCAAAATATTTTACACAATTTAGTTTTGGTTTTCAAATAAGTAGTAATAATAAAAATAAGTAAACTCAAAATCTGAGATGGTGGAACAACACCCACTATCTGAAATGACATGAACCGATCCCATTTCCTTGAATCCTCTCTTTAAAAAAAATATATTCTTGTAGACGTTTCTTACTAGAGACGCGTTTGTCTGGGTCTTCCTCATCCTCGTCTCCACTGTCCGGGTGAGGAGCGTCCTCTGGGATCGCCTGCATCTGGACGCCGGGGGCATGAGGCAGCATACGGAGGTTTTCAAACAGACGCTGTTTGATCTTTTCCAGGTACTCGTTGGTGTTCTGGTTGGTCATGTTGGAGGGGCTGATGTGGAGCTTGAAATCTGGTCCAAAGTACTCAAAGTAGTCGTTGTAGGGCAACTCGTTGGGAATGGAGCAGTCTAGGGCGACGGCGGTTTCGTAGGTCCAGCAACGGGCCACGTTGCGAATGGTGTAGCCTCCACCGCCGAGCATCAGCAGAGGGAGGTTGAAACTTTTGATGTACTCGACACACTTGGCATGGCCTGGGAGCATAAACACATACACATGTTAAATTCTCAATATTCCTAAAGCAGCTATCTGTATCGTCTTTGGACTACTGTAAGGTTTGATTGTACCTTTGATGGTGAGGTTGAAGCAGCCCAGTCTGTCTCCAGAGAGAGAATCGGCTCCACACTGGAGAACCACAGCACTTGGCTGGTACATCTCCATGACTTTAGCCATGATCTAACACACACAAATATAAACATTAAACATTTTGGTCAGAGAATGAGCCTGAGTATTGATAGTTCTCTGTTGGGTTTTTAAAAAATTGTATCGTCATGATGAACGTAAACTTACGGGCTTAAAGATGGCTTCATAAGACTCATCATCAATGCCGTCTCTAAGGGGGTAGTTCACGGCATAGTACTTGCCCTTTCCTGCTCCAATATCCTGTAAACATTGGAAACATCGTGGAGTTAATGCTTACACATGTTCAAGATACACTGATGATGTTCTCGAGGAAAAGTGACAACAACTATTGCGACAGAAAAACTAACCCTCAGGTCTCCAGTGCCAGGGAAGTACTCCCCATACTTGTGGAAAGAGACAGTCATGACCCTGTCCGTGGTGTAGAAGGCCTCCTCCACGCCATCACCGTGGTGGATGTCAATGTCTATGTACAATACCCTCTGGTGGTATCTACACAGGGCACAGCATTCAGTTAATGACAGAATAACCCCCCTGAACCCCAAAATTTGTCAGCAGGTTTGAAAGTCATGTTTTGTTTTGTTTTGTTTATAAATTACCAAAGTTACAAAGGAAAAAACAATCATAATTCAGCCAAATTACTTAATCGACGCATCTCATTTAAAATTTTGCAAATATAACAAACAAATAGAGCATGTGCTGTAAACAGTTTCTGTAAAAAAAAAAACTTCTGTGTGCTGCAGTATGAAACTACTATCGACTCCTCTGTAGAACATAGAGCCACCTGTGTACTCTTTGAAAAATGTTCTTGTGGATTCCATTTCTTCCCGTTTTTGTAAAATAAATAATCAAAGATATTCAACTTTTGTTTGTTCTTTACAAAGGCTTATGATCCTGCAGATGAAACAATATAAGGCCAGAAAAGCTAACTGGCACCAAAATTTACAAAAGCCCCATACATTTGTCATCTGCTTATCATAATCTCCACAAGTGACTTAAAATACATTCAGCCACTTTTACAGCAAGGCAAAAACGCTGTGCCTGTCTGAAACTAACCAACACAGTCAGATAGAAACTCTAAAGCTACTGTACTGATCGATGATGAGTGAGCTTAACGTAGCACTACTCATCATTTCAAAAAGGCGATCTGGTGTTCGGCATCAGTGCTATTGTGTACACCAGACATCACGCTCTCTGACAGGTGTAATCCACCTAAACCACATCTGCAAAGTGCACGCCAGATTACCTTCTGGTCCAAATGAACTACAACCCTGACAAATGAGTGAGCACACTGAATAGAGGAATCAGCAGTGGTGAGAAGCTTACTTGAGCAGCTCCAGGATAGCCAAGACAATGTCGTTGACGTAGCAGAATCCAGAGGCTTCAGACTTCTTGGCGTGATGGAGTCCGCCGGCCCAGTTGATGGCGATGTCTGTCTGCTGCTTGTTCAGCTTCACTGCTCCAGCTAGAGGAAAGTAGAGAACAGTCCAAATCAGAATCTAGAGGACATGTGTTCATCTTACTGAAACTGCTTGTTTATATCACTTCAAGGAAACATTTTAAGTCTTAGAGCTGGCTTTAAACCTTAAATTTCATATGACTGTGTCTGTGAGTTGTTTCATGCTTAAATTTTCGTAAAAAAATATGGACATTCTGCTACACTTAACAGCATTTATAAGAATCTTAGAACAGGCGCTGTGCATCCTCACTCTCACGTCTAAGGCCGAACACTGAGTGGTTGAAAATATCATCCTTTAACCTTGTCCAAGACTCAAGATGCTTACTCCACTTCGAAGTATTTCAAAACATATGATCTGGAACCAAAGCAGCCCTGTGCAGTATGCCATGACTCCTCTATGAGAACAGTGGGCAACAACTATGTGACGTGTGGTTGGAATAACTTACCCACAGAGCCGCCTGTTGAGAGCTGGCAAAACTCAAACAGACCATCAAACACTGGACAGTCCTCTCCGACATTAACTGTTAAGAAAAAGAACAGGACAGACACCTTTAATAGAACTGAACATGAGGAGTATGTGACCGTGTGAGAAGAAACCACGACACTCACATCTCTGCATCTGTTTGCTGTACTCAGACATATTGTCTGGTCGGATGGACCTCAGGAACTTAATGTAGTCGTCACTGTGGTATTTTGTCATCTCTTCACCACTGGCTTTGTGTGGTCTCTGAAATCACACAGAAACATAATGATAAAAAAAAAAAGCGAGGCCTAACACTTTTCTGTTGATCAGTAATTGTTGGGTGTGGTTAGGATGTTACAGCCTCGTCTCTAGGAGCACGGCAATATTTTTATGTCATAAAGTTGAAGTACTTGGGACTGATGATAAAATATAAAACTGATCTTTAGCACAGTCACAAACTACCTACAATTACAACCCATATAATCAGTCAACAACTAACTGTTAAAGCTCTCTGAGAGGAAGTCACACTTTGGATTTATGTTTTGCAAAAATAATAAAAACAAGTAATTGTGTGAGCCTCTATTAATATGAGTTAAAGTGGTAATATATCACTAATTACTGGTACAATCTGGTAACAATTCAACATTGTTTTGCCTCAATACAGAACTTAAGGTTAAAGATTTATTCCAACATAACAAAAATAATGAAAATGTATTTTTGTTGACACAAAGCTAATGAAACCACAATGGACACTTTTTACCTTGAATTTTAATATCTGGTTGTCTAAGGTCAGTGACTACTCACTTATTTTCCCATTTGTGACTTAGTAAAGCTTTAAAAGAAGTGGGAGCTAAATTAGCTTTATCGACTTCAATGTGGAGGACGAAAAAACATCAAAATATTCAACAAGAGTTTTGCGTCAAAAAGGTTCAATACGTATATTTTTCTAGTCAACACGGTTAAAGTCAACGATTAAATCAATGAGCTGTCAACTATTAAACTAACTGCTAACTATTGTGATAGTCAATTTATCAGTTTGAATATTTTTTGAAAATATGAAAGTCAAAATAGCTGCAAGGTGGAGCAGTGGTTAGTATTGGTGCCTCGCAGCAATAAGGTCGCCTGGGATCTTTCTGCGTGAAGTTTGCATGTTCTCCCCGTGCAGCGTGGGTTCTCTCTGGGTTTCGCACATTCCAAAAACATGTTGAGGTTAATTGGTGATTCTAAATTGTCTGTAGGTGTGAATGTGAGTGTGTTTGGTTGTCTGTCTCTAAGTGTAGCCCTGTGATAGACTGGTGACCTGTCCAGGGTGTCCCCTGCCTTCACCCTGAGTCAGCTGGGATAGACTCCTGAAGCTTGATAAGCTTCCTGGTTGATTAATTATCAGCTGATTTTGTCTCATACTTATCACTGATCAAATTGAGTAATCACCACCCTACTGATGTGATCACATGGTCAGGGAATGTAAGAAACATAAGTAATTAATCAGTAAAAGCTGCAATTTTTAAATACAGAACAATATACACACCAATTTATCTTACTTGTATATGATTTCAATTTGTGCAATTTATAAGCACCATACTAAAAAATCCCCGTTGAAAATGTTCTCAGATGAAACGTGGGGTGATCATAATCCAGTCAGTTGGTCTTGGAAATCTTCAACCTTTAAGACTCTTGTGCACTTTTGCCAGCTTACTCCTCAAATAAAGACAATGCCAACTGTAAGGTGTCACTGGTGTAACTCACATAGATCTCCATTTTCCTGTACAGTCCATAGTTGAGGAGGAGGTTGTGTGTCATGCGGATCCTGTGGGGCTTCATGGGGTGGCCCTGGCCGTAGTAGTAGTTTCCCACATCACCTATGAGCGAAACCAACATTAAGACAAGTTCAAGATCAGAAAAAAAGGTATACTGCTGCTCTCCTATTTGAAATGTGTGACGTTATTTGCAAATGTTAAATACCTTCGACTGAACAGATTTTTATGAATCACGATTAATCTACGTCTAGGACAGATTCACCAAACACTACACTGTGGAGAATTGATGTCAAACCTTGATCCATGTGTCTAATCTATAGCTTTACACGAGACAGGAAGAGATAGGGCACTATTGACAGACGTTTTCGTACATGCTGAGGTTGGTTCATTGGATTTTTCATCAAGACAGCTGATAATTTCTACACTTACTATATTGTTAAAATTTTTATTTTAACAGCAATCATTCATAACCGAAACAGGAAATGCATTATAACTGAACGACATTTATTTCTACGGAACCATTTTGTTAAATAACACCAATCAAACTGGAAACCGGTGCATCGGTCTCCTCTTGTCGGAAGTTGTTAGCAAGTTGGAGGGTCACTGATGTGATTAGCGCCGGGTAGCTTCATGGCTCCGCCGTGTTCCCACAATGACCACATTAGCTCACATGTACGCCCTATAATTCAATAAAATGCTGTACTAAGTAAGGAAATTGGAAGGGTTACTGAATAACCAAAACGCGCATTAGGACCGGATGATTTATTGCGTGCAGTCTGATGCTAACGGCTAACTAAGCATTCCATGTAGCTAAAGCAGGCTAGTTAGCCAATCGAGCAAGCTAGCGTTAGCTTGCTATGCCGGCTAGATAGCCTGGTCCTATGGCACACTTTTTAGAAAGAGAAATACGCGTGAAAATTACTAAACGCTTACACGCCTCCACAGCCGCTTCAATAATTAGACAAACTGAGGTGCACGAGTTGAATATTTACCGTCATAGTAATAGCAAACTTTTTTCTTTGTTCCTTGAGACAGCGCCATTTTACACCAATTACCCCTCTGTGCTCGCCGGCTTCTCTCTTGCACCAGGGAGCTCGCGCTGAGCTCTCCGTCAGCCAATCACAGCGGTGCAGCCGCCCGACTGGGAGGCGCTGGTGGACAAACCGAAGACCACCGAGACTGCAGCCTCCACCTGACAGACAGAGAGTGTCTAGACTGCATGTGTAGGTCAGGACTACAGGACAGCAGGTGGTTTATAGTCACTTCAATATCAGTAAGCTTCAAGACAAAGACAAGTTTTCTTCCCTGTGGGACAATAAAGTATCTTATTGATCCTCTATTGATCTCGTTTTAATTGATGTAAGCCTGGATCCGGTGTAGGCAGACACACACTTGGACATTTGGAGTTACTGGTTATTTTTTTGACAATATATTTCTACTTTTTTTATTTATTTATTTATTTTTTTAAACATGCATATCTATTTTATTTGTGTATTTGACAAGAACAGTTCATCTTATATCTACATTTGCACTGCTTATTATTCTTACTATTATTGTTATTGTTGTTATTGTTATTATTATTATTATTACTATTACTACTACTATTATTATATATTTAATCCCTATCTTTTATATATATATATATATCTATTCTATATACCCCCCATTCAGAAGCCCATTTTCATATTCTGTTTGCACTATTCTCTTTGTTTGCACTATTTCTTATATTTATATGTATATTTTTTATTTTTTTTCTCTCGTATATGTGTACCTCTGTTTAATGCTGCTACCAACAACGTGAATTTCTCCACTGTGAGATAAATAAAGGCATATCTTATCTTATCTTCATCAATAAAAAACAAAACAAAACAAAACAAAACAAAAAAAACTTTGAATGAGAGTCCCAGAGTGAAGGACCACTTTTCAAAAGATTTTCTTAACAGAACAGCATTTGTAACCAGATATATGAAGTGTAGGACAATGTGTTTTGTCCATAGAAATGCTGTAAATCGCCTGGGATGGAGACATGTATTTGTATTCAAAAATACACCGCGATAAGTAGCATTTGAAGAATGCAGGAAAATGCATATTACTACTTTTTTTTTTTTTTTTTTTAAGAATTCATTGTCCTCTATCACACTGTAGTCTGTACTTTCAGGCTTTATATCCAGTCTCAGCACTGGAGCAGATTAGAAACCAGACAATAGGTATCAGAGCGGTGGTGTTCCAGGTAACAACCAGCAGGTGGCAGTACAAGCTCATCTGTGTTTGACTGTAACTTGGAAATCTCTGCAGACCCTGTCACTGCTGAATGAGAAATGCAGCACTTCTGAAGTGATCTGTGACAGAATCTCACTTACAGCATGCAGTGCAAACAAAACAGTGATGTACCGAATAAACAAAGCAGCGGCGAGATGAACCGCAGCAGTCGCTGATAGTCCACAGCTCATTGCATCTTCTGCTTCTGTACAGTGTAAGAAGACAGTTTGCACAATTTAGACTGGCCTTGTGAACTGACTTGCAATTTCAAATCTGTTAATAAAAACAAAAACAGGGAAAAAATAAATAAAATCTACTGCTTGAGGGTAACAGATGCATCTCCTACAAGAGGCAAAGAGCTGTATCAAGTGGAAGCTTCAGCTTTGTTTAAATAATTCATAATTGTTTGAAGGCTGGATCCAAATGTAGCTCAGATCTCAACTCATCATATCACCATGTGAACTAGGTCAGTTCACCCAGAGCAGGGCTGCTGTGTTCGGTTAGCCATTTTCAGGAGGCTGCTCGCCTTCAAATGGAGGGAAGAGCGTGGACGTGAACGGGGCGGGGGGCAGAGGTAATGGTGCTGAACTCAGGGCCAGGGGACTAATAAGAGGGCCAGGGGTCAGTGGAGCTAACATCAGAGTGTTCAAGTGTTCAATTATCTGCGTGTTAAATAGGAAATCACAGATTACGACCTGACTAACATGTCGAGTGAGTGCAATGTGTAACCATTTGATCACTGATCAATGCTGTGAGGAAATTACTGTCTGCTTTGTGTGTGTTTCACCTTCTGGGGTCTCCTTGATTGTTTTTTTATTCGCATTACTTGAGGCCAAGTTTCACAAACACACTTGCATCATTTTTGGGATTGAAAAGTGGATAAAATGCTAAAAGTTTATATGACTATTGACTTTTATTTTATCATGTGGCAGATCGAGCTGCTTCTCAGTGCTGGATCTCTACAGTTTCTTTACACACCGCTGTGGGGTTAAAGCTCAATCGGAGTGAGTGCCAATCTAATAATGACTAATAATTACATGAGTGAGTAGAACTTCATTGATATTGAAGTTTGGCCAGTTCAGTCTTACTGTAGCAGATACAAATATAGCACGAATAAACCTGATTACACCCACTGTACTGCTCAGGTTTCTCACCATGCGTTACAACCACCTGGGGGGTGAAGTCATTCGCTCGCCACGGCTCGTTCTTTACGGAAATGACTGACGTATTGAAGCAAAACAATGTAGGCTTTGCTGACTGACAGCACCTGTAGCCACAGTGGCTATTATGAGATAATAGTAAAAGCAGCAGAAATCAGTTATAGAAACATCTAATATGAAATACAGTCACATCTGATGAAGAAACAGGAAATGTGTTGAATTGTGATCGGGGTTTTTTTTGCTTAATGAATTAGAACCATTTTTTTCAAAAGGTTCTGTTATTTCCAGCAGTGTCAAGTTAACGTTGCACAGTTTTAAGCTACTTCTACTCCACTTGAGTATCTTAATTTAATGCTACTTTCTACGTTTTCATTCCAATGACAAATATTTTTTTATTTCACTACATTTATCTGACAGTTTTCGGTACTTTACAGGAGCCTGGGACTTTGTAGATCTATCAGGATGATATATAATGAATTGTTATACACCTAACAGTATATGAAAATCACTTCCACCACAGTCAGATACAATATTTCAATGTTGCTTGCAAGGATCAGTAATAATAATCTGTTGGTATAAGGTGTGAAAATACATCCCTGATTGATCCCATTTTGGTGTGTAATGAACATTTCTACTGTAAGTACATTTTGTTGATAACACTAACATACTGCAGTAAGGTTTGTAAAGTTGTTTTGTTAAAACTGTACAATTGCTGCTTTTATTTAAGTATTTCTTCAACTACTCGTTATTTCATCTTTTAGAAGTGATGTAGTTTCACTTTGAATTGGGTTTTGAGGTCAAACATGAAAGGGAATAGCACAGCTGCTCCAATTGTTTAATCTTTTTACTTTTCATTTGTCCAATATGGAGCCATAAACGTAACAATATACAATACCAGAGTTAGTGGAGCAGCCTTTAACGTTGTTCGGTTTCAATGTGTGCAATAATTAGGCAGATTTGAACAGTGCATCCTTCTTACTGTCCTCCAGCAAGGCTACTATTCATGGAGGTTAACATGCAAACAGGCTCCAGACCCTGTTAACTGTTAATGTGCTACTCTGTAACAACAAATATAATGTCTGGTGGAAATAACCGTAAAGACACATAAACAGGCAGGTAACCAACATTTATTTTACCATTATCAACTTTACAATAAAACCAGTAACATCTGTCAACATTAGCAAAATAAAGAACAGAAATCAATCCAATGTATTTACAGAGACAAAGCAGATTCAGGCTCACACACGACAGATAAACAACTCTGCTTCATATCAAACCGCAACAGTGAACATAGCAAGCTTAAGTGTTCTTTTTTTTTCATAGTAAGGTAAAAATCAAAATTGTCTATTTTTTTTTCTTTTTTTTTAAACAAACAAGACATAGCTTCTGAATCTTTAAGATGGTTCTCTATAATACACCACAAAATACTTCAAATTTGGGTTAAAATATAGGAATGTAAAAAGTTGGCGAGTCTCTTTAATTTTCTGATTTCATGTTTTTTTTTTGTTGTTTTTTTTTTTTCTCTATTTAACAGTCATTTCAAGTGGTGGTGGTGTCCTAGTATCTTATCTAGCGTCAATCCTTCAGCAAGGAGGCATCTTGAGCTGTAGATTTTTAGGGAAAAGATGCTTCGACTCCATCCTTCTCCATTCATCCTTCATCCATCTATACTTTATGGTGTCATTAGCTGGCATTATAGCCGTTAAAATCCATTTTCCACATAGCGACCAACCCACAGCCTCAAACTCAGTCCAGGTCCAGATGTCGAGCAGTAACCAGGGAAGTGATCTAGTGAATCTAGTCTGTCGTCTTGTTATCATGACGAAAAGTGGCACGTCGAAGGAGTCTCTCACATACATGTGTATATATTTACATATACATATATCCATATACATATGTATACATATACACATATATATATAAATATATATATATACTCTTAAATTTTCTCTCTCTCTCTTGAAAAACAGTTCACCCAGTTCATTGTGAGCAAAAGGTACAATCACTCCTTCTTTTCAGAGGGAGCGGGGGTCGAGCTGCTCTCCTCTGTTGGTTTCGTGGCCTCAGGGGCTGGAGCAGCAGCTGCCTCCTTGGCCTCCTCCTTGGGGGCCTCCTCCTTGGCCGGCTCCTCCGCCTTTGGAGCCTCGGCCGCAGCGGCAGCCTCCTCCTTCACCTCCTCTTTCTTCTCCTCCGCAGGAGCAGCAGCTCCATTCTCGGCGGGCTTCTCCTCAGAGGGGGCGGCAGCGGCCGCTTCCTCTTTCACAGCCTCGTTCTTCTTGCTCTTCTTCAGGTTCAGTTTGAAGTTGAAGGACTTCTTCAGAGAGAACTTCTTCTTCTTCTTCTTGGGGGTTTCCTTGGCTGCAGCCTCGCCTTCGGGTTTGGCAGCCTCTCCATCTGCAGCAGGTGCTGGCTCAATAGCGTCACCTCCTGCACCAGCCTCAGGCTCCTTCGCTGCCTCAGCTGAGCCATTGGTAGCAGCAGCATCCCCGTCAGGCTTTGTAGAGACATCGCCATTGGTTTTCACGTGTCCATTCTCCTGGAAGAAAGGTCAAAAGATAAAAATGTCAGACAAAAAAATGTCGTCTGTTTGCATGGCTTGTGTGTTTTTATTCACAAAGCATCTCTGCACATGCATGAAATGCCAAGAAAACTCATTTCTGCTGCACATTTCTCATTTCTTTTTAGAGCATCGTTGTGCTCATCAATTAACCACCGTGTCGCCTGGCTCAGAGGCGACGCCTTGCAGTACTCTAATCAGCCGACAGGCGGCGGTAGCTGCTCACAGACCGCCCGAGGTACCAGACAGACAGGCTCAACAAAGACCAGGCTGGAGCTCATCGATGAGGATGAAAACACTACAATTTAGTTGTTTTCTCCCGGAAAAAAAACCCCACCAGAGAATCATATTTTAAGTAATTTAACATAATTCACATAATAAAAGTAATTCTGTAATCAAGTGACATTTTAGGTATTTGATGGGTGTGCGGGTAATTCACACCCCATAATAATCTAATTATGGTCCAAAGTGTCATATCGATGACTGAATGTGACTCATTTGACTTATATTGTATTTTGGAAAGTCCCGGTTCGCAGCAGAGGTGTCCAGACGACAGGCGGCTTGGTTCTAGCAGGAGGACTGTAGTAGACTGCCTACGTGCGCCCAGGCTGCCCCCCTCCCCCCTGATGCCCGCCGCTACCCAGCACGTTGTGCGGGTTTTGGGGGTTAGACCTCAGTCACAAATTAAAAAGCACACTCACTTTATGCTTGGACAACCGGGATACACAACCTCACCCCGCCGGCTGATGTGGTACTTTTCGGGGTGCTCTGTGACCACCCACCCCCCTCCTCTCCAGCAGCGATGCTCAGAGCCCCACCTGACTTCCAAACATGTCCTCACATTCAAGTTTAATCAATTCACCGTCGGCTAAAAATTCACTAAACTCGAGTTTTCGTGTGAGAAAAGCCAACTTTTATCAATTTGTACTCCTCCGTTTGGTAAAAAAGTCCCCACGGAGCGCCAGCAGGGTGTAATAATTACCTGTCCGTTGGTCTTGACGGCTGCAGCATCAGCGGCAGCAGCGTTCGCCTCCGCGGCCACCTCTCCCTTGGATGACTGGGATCCCATTGTCTTCGGTTGAGTTGCGGTGGTGTCTTCTAAAGCAAATTAAAAAGAAAAACTAAAAAAGAGTGGGTTTTAAGTTAATCCAACCCCCAGGGCGAGTTAAGTATCCGGCGGTGAAAGGAGGAAAAGTGTTTTTTTTTTGTCTTTTTTTTTGCTTCAAACGGCGGCCACGTCCCCTTCGGTCTGTCCGACGGTCTGACTTGTCACCCCGGCAGAGAGAGACCCTCTAAACTCAACGCTCGCTCAACGCATCGCTTCAACATACAGCAGGTTCAAGGCGCCACCCGGGGGCGGGGCTAAGCCGGGATCCGACGAATCAGCGTCTCCCTTCAGCGGGCTCTGGCCAATCCCCTCTGACTCCCTTAATTGTCCCCGCCCCCCGCTCCATAAGACCCCCAGCAGCGAAATCAATTCAGCTCAACTAAACTCAGTGTTTTATAGGCATGAAACTACAAAAACAACGCTGACATGGCATAAAAAGAAAGACATCGTTTTGTCCCGGTAAATCATTAACTCTCCTTTTTATTGTAGTTGCCTCTGTTTATTTATCTCCTTTGGTGTGATAGTTGAGTACTTATTCAGAAAGATAAGATCAGGAATATTTACCAAACTTCTTACTACCGAGGCTCGATCATAAGACCAGAACAGTGAGGTTTAATACTGATTGTTTTTTGTTTTTTTTACACCATTTGTGTGCAAAATTGTGTGAGAAAGCTGTAATCAGTGTGGACCTGCTACACTCACCACTTCAGGTTGGTTTATACCAAGAAATCTGTCATGGAAATGAATGAACGAGTTTAAAACTAGGTGAAGCTCTAGCTACTGCAGCAGCTTACTAACAGACAAACAGGTACCCTGTGAATAAATAACAGGAGATTCCACTAAAGCTGCGACTAATGTTATTTTCATTGTAAATTGATCTGTTGATTATGTTCCCATTAACTACTGACTATGAAATGTTTTAAAAATGGTTAAAATGCCTGTTGAATCTTTTCAAATCTCAAGTTAACACATTCATACTGCTTGTTCAAGACTCCCCAAATATAAATGTTGTTGTCATAGAAAATCAGCTAAAATGTACAACCAAATTGTGCAACCGTTTCTCTTTTCTTCTCTTGTGATTACAAGACAAATCTACATCAAGAACAATTTTCGTTTCACTTTTGCTTGTTGTCTTTATCCAAGGAATGAGGGCACTCTTCTGTCATAGTTTCACTTTTGACTGTGACTGAACCATGCAGGGGGTTTTCTGAGTATGCTTCTTTTGGTTTCAGTTAAACTAAAAATACTCACACATCTTGAAGTGCAATCGGATTCAGCACCCAGTCAGAGTTTCAGTAAAAACAAAATGATGTTTCCAGAAGCCATCTCTGTCAGATATCTATGAAGCCATGACTCATGGGCATGTTATACCATAAAGCTGATTACAGCCATCCTATAATGTTTCTATTGGCCATTTTACAGAGAAAATGCTGATGTTCTGTGTTGTCCAGAAACTGAACATGTCTTGGTCTATAGGTCAACACAAAACCCGTTTTCAGCGACCGCAGCTAAAGCCAGTTCACACAAGTGCAAAATATGTGACATGATACAGCTCAGGACTTCTTACAAAATACTGAAAAGTTTGGTGAAATGGTAGAAAATGTGTAGATTCCTCTCCACTCTTTTCCTCTCTGTCTGTCCCCACCAGCTGAATAGTAAAATGGACCTACTTTTGTCGAGCAACACAATAGTGAATGAGAGTTTAATCTGTTGTTCAGTGTTGCCCTCTCACTGTGGTTATGGCGACTCATTTTTAAGGCGATCTGGCAGGAGAACAGGATCCGCGTTGGGGCTAATGGCATGTCACGTTGACTCCTCATGCCTCCATGACTAGATCTGTTGTTCACTTCCGCTTGTCAACAACATACCAGCAGCAAAGTATGTCAGTGTGATGATCATGCACATTCCACCTGATCGTTTTCTTCCACACATTCCTTGCAACAGCTGTTAAAGCCAAAAATCTCAGTTATGGGAGGAAAAGACTTCAGTGTTCAGTGTTACAAATTGATCTTTACTGCAGCCAATCAGCCTAATTGATTTTGCAGGACTCGGGAACATTGAAATGCGTGTCAGCAGCCTGTCTTGAAGCTAAACCCCTCCAGTTCTGCAGTAAGTTAAAGCACACTTTGGTGACATATCCTAATCCGAGCAGAACAGAAGTGACTCTCACATTCAACCACATTATATAATTCTAAAGAAAAATGCATTCATAATGTGGTTAAGAAAGCTGTCTAAGTCTTTCACCGTCCACACAAACATTTTTATCTGCGTGGTAAATACCAAATGATATAAAACTGCAAATACCATCTTCATGTGACTGCGCTAACAGGTTACGCTACAAGTTCAAGTCTTTCCCTGTAACATAGAGTTCTCTCTTCATGTCGTTCACATGACTATGCCAGTGTAAGTGTGGCTATACATTGCATTTCCACAAGTATGTTGACACACGAACAACAGATGGGAACTTCTGTTATACCTATACTTATATGATTGTTTAATATCAATATTTAAATGAATATTTTATTGCTTTCTTGCTGATGACAGGATTGATGCCACTCTCATATCTGTAGGATAAATATAAAGCAGCCAGCAGCTGGTTGGCTCGGCTTGGCGTAAAGTTCAGAATCCAAGGGAGACAACATCTATCAGCACTTCAAAGTTAATAAAGTCAATGAAACTTTAATTGTTTCGCACCTGTGAAATCAATGAAACAATAACAATTTAAATCAGATGAATTAAATAAAAGTGGACAACATAGAAAAGACAATAGAAAATTAAACCATACATCCATCATCTATCCACTGCTTAACCCTCACTAGGGGAACGGGAGGCTGGAGTCTATCCCAGCTGACTGAGGGCGAAGGCAGGGGACACCCTGGACAGGTCACCAGTCTATCACAGGGCTACACTTAGAGACAGACAACCAAGCACACTCACATTCACACCTAGGGACAATTTCGAATCACCAATTAACCTCAACATGTTTTTGGACCGTGTGGGAGGAAGCCGGAGAACCCGGAGAGAACCCACGCTGCACGGGGAGAACATGCAAACTCCACGCAGAAAGACCCCCGGGTGTCCTCACTGGGACGCGAACCGGTGACCTTCTTGCTGCAAGACAATGCTGCTAACCACCGATCCACCCTGCAGCCCAAAATAAAACCAGTATGAGGGAATAAAACCATTAGAACATGAATTCAACAACATAAAATGAAGAAATAAAGCTCACAGGTTAACATCTCAGTTTAATGGTGGCTTATGTACAGGTCACTATTGATTGTGTGAACTGATGTTTATGCAGTTTTGATTGCCTTTCAAACTTACTCTGCCAGCTCCAGTTCCTCAAATGGCCACTTGATTCAGTCCCCATGGCCCCCATATGTCATAATGTCCAACTTGACAGTGAAGTAGACAAGTTTACAGACGTGTACAAACAACACCTGAAACTGCTCTCACGAAGAAGGAAAGTCCCTCTTCATATTAGCAGTTTCAGTTTTACTCAGGCTTAAAGTTAAAGGTAGTAGGGCAAGGCAGCTTTGTGACAGATTGGTACAGGACAGTTCATGATGTTCTCAAAATGTAGAATAGCTCCTTTACGACAGTCCCCACCACTATTCTGCAAAGAAAACATTAATCATCTGTGCACGCTGAAGCAACAAGACCTTCCTTAATTGGCCTAATTGGAACTCAGACCAACAGGTCACTACAGGACTACTGGACGGGTTACATCACGTGCACAAGGGGAAACTTCAAAGATGTTCCTCTCTCTCATTTTGGACATGCATACACTACAGGGTTGGAAAACAATGGTGCATCACACAGATTTAAATAAAACTTAGACTGTTGTGCAACAAACTGCTGTAACCAATAATACTGTACAGTGAGGAAAAAAAAAAACAAAAGTTGCCCGGCAACAGGGTCCGCTGCTGCAGGTGCTACCGTGATAATCGTATCCATCCTGATTTTAACTCATAAATCCTCAAGCATGTTATTATCAGAGCAGCTTGGATAAAATGTGAGCAGTTCGAAGGGGTTTAACTCTGGATCTGTAGACCCCTCACATTGCCAGATAACCTGCGTTAAACATCAATGAAGACCAACATCCTAGACCAGGTTTCTTCTTCTTCTTCAATTGTCAGCAGCCCCTGATATTTAAAATATCTCTCATGTCAAAGCTGATGTGATTTTATTTACACGAGCCTCTGTAAACTTGCATACAATGGACGTGCTTTGAACAAGTGAGCAGGTGGTGCGATGATAAGGTCTATAATATAGTCGTGCATAATAGCTGCTGATAAAAATCTTTAAGTGGCAAGACAGAAAACAAATGTATTATTCACAGGAGTTGTATTCCTACCTTCGCTCAGCATTTGAATAAGAAGCAGCTCTCCACTAATGTAAACAGGGTGATTATGGAGAGCTATAAATGCTTTTATTGCTGTTTTTGCAGCGCTAAATGGATCCAAATACATACATCATAGGCTTTTATAGTTTCCTTCAATCTGCATTACTTTGTGGTTTTTACCTCGCTGGGCTCACCTCGTAGCAGCAGTCGCACTGTGAGGACAAGCTTTTCTCACTCACATATCATGCTGTATCTATCTAGCTGGACTTGTAAATGTCATAATAATGTGCCCACTGTGTACTGTGGAATGCCTGGCACGCAGGCCCTCCCGTCTCCTCAAGCCATCTTCTCCTGTGAATGGGCTTCTTCACCCCGCCTGAGGTAACTGGGAGAGGTTGGGAGGAGGAGGAGAAGGGGGGAGGCAGTGAGAGAGACGGCATCATGGTTAACTTTTTGCAGATGGAACTACATCAAGTGCTCCTTTCTTCTTTTTCCATGAAATCCCAGTCCCCGTGTGATGCTAATGACGACGGTGTTGAGGGCTGGCGAAGAGGCGCAAGGCTCATCGTCTCCTCATCTCCTTGTCACCGCACTTGACACTTCGCTCTGTGTAAATGTGCGTCTGTGTGTGTTTGCACATGTGCGTCTGTGTGTTATGTGCATATAAGGGAAGCATTGTCATGGGACCAGTGAGCGTCAGGGGGTGAAAGGCACAAAGCAGCACTCCTTTACACATAGACCCACATTATTCACCCACACACACACACACACATTCACAGCATCGGGGCATCAGCTGTGACAGAGTTCATATAGATGTGGTGAGGGTTGGAATGCAGAGAGGAGGGGAAAGAGAA